CAACTTTAACTGAATTACTGTGCATTCACAGCAGTCAAAGAGCACAACGTGTAGCCTGAGGTTTCATGACATTCCTATTTTTGCTACTACCGTAAGAAGGTATAACAAATGCTATTTCAAGGATTCAACACAGGTGAGATTTTAGAAAAATATTAAACAAGAATACACACAAATCACACACGGCCAAAACAAAATAATAAAAGTCTTTAGTGGAAAACAATTTTATCCTCCTCCTGCTTATGGATCTTAAAAATACACAAAGCATTCATTTCAAAATTGAAAATGCAGTTGTGATAAGGCTTGATTACACAGCCATTTCCCAAGTCTTATTGCAACAAATTGTGAAATATTTCTATGCAACTTCATATCTTCAACTGTACAGGTGAAACAATACTTGAAATCAACTAGCACTTCAATCCCTGCATTTTTAATATATAAACACAACATAGTACTGAATTATACATTTAAAATATTTACACACTTGACCAACAGCAGTACTAGCATTTATTGCCTTAAAACTGCATGTTCACTGCATGGAAGTTCCTTATTTTGCACAAAGGGAACAAATAAAAGAGGATAATATTTGTTTCCTAATTATAAACTCTAGAACAGTTCAACAGGAGATTGAAATGTGCTAGGGAATGCTATTAGAATGGATTTTATCAATTTCAAGTATCAAGCTGTTAAGAGATTAGAAAACCACAGGGGTAGTATCTTTCCCTTAAGGTTGGAAGAGTCTTCCAAATCTTTTATAAGAATGGCTTAAAAGGACAGGAAAAGCAGGATAGAGAAAAGGAAGAAATGGAAAGGCAGAATCTACTTTAATTCACTGAGGAGAAGGGAAAGCCAGGGATATCGTATTTCTCAGTTGCTAGGGCCCCAAGAAATCTTGTATTGAAAAAAGGGCTTTTTAAGTCCACCGAGAGCTTAAGGCTCTAGAGCAAATCACACTTCGTGATTTGCTTCATGATTAGTGCTAGAAAGCATTAATCTCATTTAGAGGGCACAATCTACTGATATTAAAAGAAAATTTATGGGGGCTGAGGCTGGCTCTTTAGATTTTCATTGTTATCATTAGGCTTTGGTTATACTGAGTCACTGGAACAGATGTGGGAGAAATGAGTGGTGTTTGTTCCTTGCAGAAAAGTGTAAAAAACCAAAACCAAACCAAACAAGAATCCCTACACTGCAAGTGGCACTTGTCACAAGTAGAGGCACCAAAGCCCGAATAACTAACAACTGTCCTCTCACTATGCAGACCAGAACCGAGGCACACTGGTGGGGCATCTTATCTTATTTAAGAAGCCGCCACCATTTTAACTGGCCGTAATTGAAATAACTACAATTTACAGCAAGCATTACTGTACTGCAGTAGACCAGTCTTGGGGAATACTGCACCACTGCTGCCTCTACTGGGCTTTATAATTATGAAAATCTTCTGCTTTCATTACAGTAAATCTTACACCTCACAAAACTAAAATTAAAATATTTAATATTTACATAGCATCTCAGATCCTCAATGCATTTTATAGGCATCAGCTAATCCTCACAACATCCCTGTGAGGTAGGTAGGTATTATCACTATTTTAATAACGACACAGTTCTAGTGACTTGCCAGTGGCCACAGAGGATCCAGTGGAAAAACTGGTACAAAATTAGAGGAGCCTGGCTCCTACTCCTGCGCTTATATTCATCAAGCTACTTCCATAAAAAACACCCCTTCTTATGTAATTATTTAACCAAAACTGAAATTACTTGAAGTGTTTTACAAGAGAAATGCTGCAGTTTGTATTTTTGAATAGTTTTACAGATCACAAATTAGAATTTGCTTTTAAAGAATTAGATCTTAAATGGAGAACTGACTGCTCTAAGCAAGTTTATTTTCTAGAACTACATGGCTTGGGATTTACCCAGGTAAACACTGGGGCTTTAGTCAGTGCTATGCACTATCAAAGAGATGACTCTGATTCAAACCCCTCTCTTTCAACTAGTAGGATTTGGACACGCTGAGAAAACAAGTTTCTCCTTCCTGAGGAAAACGGTGAGCCCTTTGTCACTAAACAGCGAAACACAAATGTCTGGGCAATAAGTAGCAGATTCCGGCGGTAAAGATAATTAAGGCATAAATGCACATGAAAGTGGAAGTTTCATGTAGTAGTAGTCCACTTCTCCCTGTCCATGCATATCTGTGCTTTCACAAAGGTCTTGGATTTCATGACCCAACTAGATGGTCATGCCTGCCAGCATCAAAAATTACAGGTTGAACAACAGAAAATGATTATGCCAGCATTAGAACTAGCTCTTGCAATGGGGAAGGAGCTGGCAAAATGGGAAAGAATTGATTTCTAGTCTCAGAATGAAAACACTGGAGCAATAATCTGGTTTAGCAAAAAAGTCTAGACAAGTATATTTGTTAGTTATATCATGCAGCATTTATAATTCAGTTTGAGTTGCCTTTTTTTCCCTTCAAAAAACAGGTGCATTTTTAGAACCATTATTCACTTTGCACAGTGAATGGAAAATCAATGCAGTGATGCTATAAAAATTTCAGAACACTTACATGGAGCCAACTCTCAATGTTCACTAAAAATGGTCTATAAGTCTTTGCTATGGACTTGAATGAACTTTTGCATCTAGATTTACAGCAACTGGATGTGTAGAGGATCACTGAAGGATTTTTTTTTTCTTTTTAGGTGAGGGGGGAGGAGGGATATAGAAGCCAAATAGTTTAGGTAGAAGCAGCCACCTAGCCAGCAGGAGTATGAATTAATAAAAATTATTCCCAGAACCTTTTGCAACAATTTCACGGACGTCGCTAAGCAGAGACATCTTAGCATTTGCTCCAAAAGAAACAAAATTACATGGAAAGACCCCTGTTGAATATACAAGAATGGAAGGAGAATTAAGAAACAAGAAAGGAAGAATGTTGTCTGGCATAACATCAAGCAGGAAAACTACAAAAAACCTTACTAGGACGGTTTTCCTTTAACATATAATACTAATTTTAAATTAAGGGCGAAAGAAAGTTTTAAGTAACCTTCAAAACTAGTCTTTGAAAGTAAGCATTCAGACTTTAGCAAGTCTTGATAGTCAAAAGATGCTGTGCATCTCTGCTTGTTACAACACAACGGGCCTGATAAGAAAAGTAATGGGTATGCACGTTACTTTGTCCTGAATACTAACTCAATTTATGCTCCAATTCATTAATCGCTAAGCAAGAGGATTTCAAAATTTTAAAGTTAATAAATATTTTTAAATAGTGAGCCAGCTTTAGGATTAAAAAAATAATAGTGACAGAGCTAGTTATAAAAGAAATGATGACTGAGTATATCAGTTATTTATTCAGATCCAAAAAATTTGAAGGCATTTGCTATACTCTCTTCGAGGACCTTGTCCTAGATATTTGACATCAAGCACATCATGACAAACTAGCAGCTCCTACTACTGCTCATGCTCCTAGGCTTTAATGCCCTTCCTCTGAAAAAACTGAGGTTTCAGAGCTGCTGCACTATCCAATGTACAAACTCAAAAAACGTAGCAAAACCCAGACAAATTTTAAAAAATTAGCCATCAGAACAGTTTGTAAACAGAAGGATCTGCCAGGATCATTGCCTTTTTGCAGGTGCACAGTCAAGAAATCTTTTAGAGAAAGGCATTAGAATTTCAAGAAAAAATTGAGACCAACACCCCTGTTTTAAAATACTATGCAAATTATCTTAGAAATAAAATACTAGCTGGGAAGGTCCATTATCTAACAAGTTTTATGGTCACCTTTTAATATGTAAATCTGCCCTAGCCCAGTTTTCACATAAATTAAGAGAAAAGTATAATGAAGAGATGGCATTTTTGGCCTCATGGATCCATGCTTGAGACAGGTATGAATTTAACTAAAAAATAAAAAAGCCTTAGATCACTTATAGCACAGTATTAGAGATTTAGGTCTTTTAAAATTTCTGGCTATTGTGACTTAATTTTGAGATGAATAGCTGAAGAATGGCACAGAGCTGCAAACATGATGCTATACATAGCCATGTAAAGGTGTATACTATACATTTTATATAAATTTTAAAAACACATGGGGAATATTCAACAGCATAATCTAGCAGAGGTCTTAAACAAAAGGGCCCGCTTCTGCCTCCATGTATTTCCACTAAAATCAATTTTACTAGACATGCAGCATTTGTGTTTGCTTCAGTTTTCTCTGGCTCATGACTGGAGACAAAGCAGGCCTTGCTTTTGTATTTGTGTGCTGCTCTCCCTTGTTGGTCCACTACACTCAGGGCACTATATTCTGCTGTCAAAATAGCTAAAGTGCTGATACAAAAAACCGAGCAAGAGCAGAGCAGCTGGGAGGGCTCTGCAGACGTGGAGCTAGATTCAGCAAAATCAAAAATCCCCCACAGCACTACACATCCCAATTACTTTTCTTGACTCGAGTCAAACAAATACGGCCCTTGAGTAAAAGGGTTTGATGCCCCTGTTCTAGCACAACTGTTTTAGCTAATGCCCAAACTTTAAAAAGTTTGCCAGTAATTTACACCTTTTGTGTTGTTATTGCTTAAGCAAACAGTTCAGTGTAGAAATACATTGCAGTTGCGTGCAACCCAACCCAGGTATGACTCAAAACAGATACTGAAAGTAAAACTACACATGAACCTTGCATTAGACACTCATTCCAAAATGACACGTCAACACGAAGGGCTGCAAGAGGTACACCGCAGCTTAATGCCAACACCCTAAACCAACTCTGAAGAGTCAAATCTTGCCTTAAATTTCTCATCTAAAGTATATGAGCTTTTTTTTTCTTTTAAATTAAGGCAATGAAATGGCTACAGTTCCTAAAGTTCATTTTAGGGGAACAAAAATATACACCTTTTTTTTTTCCCGAACTTTAGGCAGCAGAACATAATGTAAAAACCTGCACTGCATTAAACATGCAGTGTCCGGTTGATGTAGAAAAACAGAACTAAACACAAGTTAAAATACCATTTGGTTTTTCTTCCCCATTGGAACACAAACTCAAACTTTAAGAGAGGAAAAACAAAGCTTAAAATCAGCTAAACTGTTCAGAGATTTGTATGTATCGGCATCACACTCTAACATGATTTTGGGTAGAAAAGAAATCTGTATGTTTATCTGGCCGCTCATACTTTAAACCAGCGTGGGGGGAAAGGCACTGCATTTATTTTTTATTGTGCCCATATGTCTTTGCACATATATGGAAAAAATTTAAATTCAAATTTTCTGTTCATTCGCTCCCACACACAAGTATGACAGATTGCAGCTAACACATAATAGCAGAAGCTGATTCAAAGTTGACCTCTCCTATTCCATTGTGTTATGTTCAAACTTCCAGGCTCTCTAGAATCTGAGATGGCTGCAAAGAACCCAGAGACAGGTACAAGATTTAGTCAGCATTCAGCATTTCTCAGTGCATTTTGCAGAAAGGGTCTAAATTAGGCATAGAGTTTTGTTGTTTATTTTACACAGAGAAGTCCACCAACATTTGCCATAAATTCTTCTAAACTCTTTAAGAAGGCCATCTTCTGCTTACGGTCCAGTGTAGGAGGAGTGCTGCTTGCAGTAAGCTTGTTGAAGGCATCTGCTAACCGCTGGTAAATTACTGGATCTTGTTGAGTTGATAGCAATGTTTCAACTAGCTCTGAATATTCAGCCTGTTAAATAAACAAGAATCTTATTAACTTAAAAAAAATAAAAGATACAATAATACACAATGTATACAACTTCTCTCATCACGACAAAATCCAGAATCAGGGCTGTGACCGAAAGCTATCAGTACCTCTCAATCTGTTACCAGTTTCACTGACTAGTGTACCAGAAGGCACTATGGACCTGCAGCCTTTCACCTACCTCTAAACCAGATAAAGCCCTTCGATCAGACCAGATTTTCTAGTAAAGCTAAAGAAGCTAGGTACTTTTCTTCTTAGTGCAGAGTAAGAAGAAAACTTTAAGGGACACCCTTCAAAGTGCCTTCTGGCTCTTAGGATAGGCTTACTCCTGCAAACTGCACTTCTTTCTTCACGCCTGCTCCGTGTTCTATGTGCCGTACCAACCATCTCCTCCCATAGGTTTTCCCTTTTCTAGATTCCCTTCCCTGGGACAGAGAGCTTAAATTCCTTTCTAAGAGTTTCCTACTTACTCTCATGCTTACTTGGACAGAAACAGAAGACAAAGAATCATACAATGGTTTGGGTTGGAAGGGACCTTAAAGATCATCTGGTTCCAACCCTTCTGCCATAGGCAGGGACACCTTCCACTAGACCGGGTTGCTAAAAGCCCATCCACCCTGGCCTTGAACACTTCCAGGGATGGGTCATCCACCATTTCTCTGGGCAATCTGTTCCAGTGCCTCACCACCCTCATTGTGAAAATTGCCTTCCTTATACTCAGTCTAAATCTACCCTCTTTCAGTTTAGAGCCACTACCCCTTGACCTATCACTACATGCCCTTGTAAAACATCCTTCTCCATCTCTCTTGTAGGCCCCCTTCAGGTACTGGAAGGCTGCACAAGGTCTCCCCGAGCCTTCTCTTCTCCAGGCTGAACAACCCCAACTCTCTCAGCCTGTCCTCACAGGAGAGGTGTTCCATCCCTCTGATCATCTCTGTGGCTCTCCTTTGGACTCGTTCCAACAGGTCCATGTCCTTCTTACATTGGAGGCCCCAGAGCTGAACACAGTACTCCATGTTAAACATGACTAAAAGGACTCTGCCAGGGGGCACCTGGAGCAAGTCCAGAGTGACTTCTGAGCTCTGGGAGCTAGGATGAAGGACTCAGAATGGCAGTCCACTTAATTCTACTGGTGAAGGGCTTGGGTGGGGGTAGACACAAGATGAAGTTGCCACCTGTGACTGGTCTCACAGGGTCTTTTTTGTCACATGATCATAAGTTCCAGTTTGTGGATGAGGGCTGCTAACAAGAGAGAGGATCCATATGACAAAGTGGCTTAGGAACCTCTTTGCCGAAGGCTTGCCAACCTGGCAGGAAGGGCTTTAAAGGGCACGGGGTATGGCGGTAACAGTTTGTAGATCAGTGAGGAGACAGAGACCAAGAGTATTAAGAATGCAAGGAAGCATGACGGGTTTAAGAGTGCTCATCAGGAAAGGTGAAACAGGTTGAAAGGGGGCCAACCCTCATATGCCTGTGCAGAAATGCATTCAGCTTTGGAAACAAACAGGAAGGGCTAGAGCTCAATGTGCAGATGCAGAGCTGCAACATCACTCATCACTGCAGGCACTGAGATGTGGTGGGACAGACGGCATGACTGGAGTGCTCGGATGGACAGATGGAGGCTCTTTCAAGCTATTTAGGGAAGAAGATGACAAAAGATTGCCATTTATGTAAAAAGGCAGCTCAGATTAAGGTTAGTTTTCTATGGACTAGGCAACAATCTAGTTGAGTGCTGATGGGTCATAATCAGAGGAGAGGTGGTAAAGACGACATCATGGCGGGAGCTTGTTACAAATCACCAAAACAGGGTAAGTAGTGGGCCAAGTCATCTTCAAGCAACTTGAAGTTTCCAGATCAGACTTATGAGATATTATCTCCCTGATATTTGGTCGAATGCTAGCCACCCAGGGGTGACTTTCAATCTGCTTCTCACAGCTAGGAAGAGCTGGTCAGGGATGTGGTAATTAATGGCAGCCTTGGCTACAGTGATCATGAAATAGGGGAGTTCGGGACCCTTAGGAGAGTGAGAAGAGAGAGCAGCCAAGTAGAGACTCTGGACATCATGAGAGCAGATTTCAGCTTATTCAGGAGACTGGTGGGTGGGGTCCTGTAGGACAGCGCTCTGAAGACAAAAAGGAGCTCATGAGAGCTGGCAGGTCTTTAAGGACAACCTCTTCCAAGCACAAGAATGGCTGTCCAGATACTGAGGAAAACAATATAAACACATCAGGACACTGACCCAGCTAAGCAGGGAGTTTGTGACTGAAACCCAGTGCAAGGAGGACACATGCAGAAGATAGAAGCAGGGACAGCTACGAAGGAGGAAAACTGAAACATTGCCTGGACAAGAAAAATGACAGAAAAGCAAAGTTGAGATAAAGCTGAATTTCGCAAGGGACGTGAAGGACAAGAGCAGTTTCTACCAATACATTAACAGTAAAAGAAGGAACAAGGAAAATGTGGGTCCTGCTGCTGAATGGAGCAGGTGATTTAGTGGTAACAGACAAAAGGTAATGTTGAAATACTCAATGCTTTCTTTGCCTTGGTCTTCACTGATAGGTTTTCCTAGACCTTTATGACCAGAGACAGGAGGAGAGGAACTACCAGTGGTAAAGAGGATTAACCCACAGATCTCTTGAGAAATTTTGATGCATGCAAGCTCATGAAACCTGACAGAATTCATCTAAGGGTTCAGAAAGCTGGCTGTTCTCTGTCACTTTTGAATAACTAAGAAGATCATGAAGCAAGTACTCCTGGAACCTCTCTCTGGGCACATGAAATAGAAAGGGATTGAGAACAGCCAGCGTGGATTTACCGAGGGTAAATCATGCTTTACCAACTTGACTGACTTCTGTGATGAAATTACTACATCTATGGATTAGTGGAGAGCAGTGGATACCTGATGTTAGCCAGTCTTTAGCGGTCTTGCACAGCATTCTTGTAAGCAAGCTGGGATTTTATTGTCTAGATGGGTAGGCTACTACACACCTGTATCATCAGCCTCTAAAGGGTTGTGGTTAATGGCTCATATTCTACCTGGAAGCTAGTTACAAGTGGCAGTGACAGCTCTCATCTGGGCCTTGTCCTGTTAAATATTTTAGTCAGTGACCTGGAGGAGGAAAGGAAATGCACTCTCCTCAAGTCTGTGGCTGAAACCAAACCAGGGAGTGCAGCCAGTGTATTCAAGGGCAGGACTGACATTCAGAGACACCTACTCAGGCTGGAGGAATGAACTGATGGGAACCTCATGAAATTCAACAAGGACAAAGGGGAAGCCCTACAGCTAAAACAGCCTAACCCCCTGCAACTATACAAAGTGGGAACTGACAGTCTGGGGAGCAGTTCTGCTAAATAAAGGACCTGAAGGTCCTGGTGGACGGCAGGCTAAGCAAGTCAGCAGTGTGCCTGTCAGCAATAAACACTAGTAGCATACTGGGCTGTATTTACTATTTGTCTTTACACAGCACTTGTTAGATTAGATGTGGAATACCGTGTCCAGTTTTGGACTCCTTAACACAAGAAGGATGTTGACAGACTCGAACGAGTCCAGTGGTGGGCCACCAAGACTGTCTGGCAGGTGCTAAAAGCACATGAATTTTAAGGACAGTAAAGTATTCAACGGGCTCCTCAGAGAGACTTTGGAATATCTATCTTGGAGGTTTTCAAGACACAGTTGGAAGAAGTCCTGAGCAACCTGACTGAATTCAGTGTTGACCCTACTTTGAGCAAGAAGTTGGACTACAGACTTCCTGAGGGTCCCTTCCAACCTGAACAACTCTATGACTTGCCAGACGCACAGTAACTAACCACTCTCCTTTAACAAATTACTGGTTTTCAGGGTGTAAGTGTCTAAATGCCATACCTGATGCAAACACACTAATGTGTAGAATGCTTCACCTGCTGCAGTTGTCATTTCTGTATTGTGCTTCTGAAGTACCAGCATATCAAAGACCATCTGAAATCACAAAACAGAAGTAGTTACAGAAGTGTAAACTAAACTTTCTACTTTACCAACATTTGCTGCTGAACCTCATCTTCACTTCTGATAATACTAATAACAAACATGTATTTAGAAACATCCAAGTTTGTTGTTTGTTTCGTTGCCTTTTTTTTTTTTTTTTAATTTGGGTGTCATTAATTGGAAAGCCAACTTCTTTTAGAAGTTGAGTCTTGGCTTAGCAGCACAAACACACATCTCAAAGCACTGAAACCTGTTGTTGATTTGTGTGTGGTTTTCAGTGAGAAATGGCACCTCTTGCATTTTTCTCCAAAAGCTGCAGATATGCCAGAGAAATAATGAAAGAAGCCTTTGCTCTTCCAGAATAAACCAGGGAACTTTTTCCTCAAGTTTTGGAGACTCCTACAGCTCACAGAAACCCAAACAAGGAACTGATTAATAAAAATGATATCATAATTTTAAGTGGAAATTTAGAGAAAAGGCAGAAGGCTATGTTAACATATAAAAAGAAGAAATATAAAGACAAATAAAATTATTTAAGGTGGTTCTCATTCTCTCAGCTTGACTGATGTATGCTTTTAATGAACAATTTCCAGAAGTTAAAATGTCAGTTTGGTAAGAAAAGATGTCTTAAGGAAAACTGAAGTCTTTACAACATCAGAAGACAAGGACACAAATTCCAGTTACTTTGTTCTCAGTTAGCAGGAACCTGGTTGCTGTGAGATAGAGTGGATGGTCCTAAATTCAATGAGATAGAGTGGATGGTCCTAAAAAGAAAGTACTAGATATGACACTGGATTAAGAAAACGCATAATTCATTGGATACACTGAATAAATGACAGCATTTTCTTTCTAGGTCCCAACTATGCTCTTTTTTCTGCCTCTTGTTTTAGTACTCTACCCAGCTTTCAGTTCACACAATTCTGGAAGCGTTCTATTTCACAGCTTTCACAGTAAACCTAACTGCTAAAACTGTCAATCAGGTTCATTCCAGAGCTCATATGCAGAGCATGGATAAATATAAATTGCATTGAGAGGCTCAGGTCTTTTGTTGATTGGTGATAAGTAGTTTCCTCCCTGTAGGCCTCCATCCTCCTTTGTACTCTAGTCCAACATCTCCAGTCCTTTATGCTCTCTTTTTTCTTAATCTGCTGGTTTTTTAGGTAACAGGCTGTTTCTTACTGTATATGTGATCCTGATTAACCTGGTCAGATATGATCACTATTTGGCCTCTTGATGCTACCTGTGTGCAAAAAATTGAAGTAACATGAAACGCAGATGCCTTACCTTAAGAAAGTGCCTTGTTGCTAGAAAAAGGGTTGAATCTGTTTCTTGTGCTTTTGCACACTGTTCTGCTAATGGTGTTACAGCCTCCAGACAGAGCTGGCAAACCTCTGAACTCATTCTGATAATGGATGTTAAAGAATCAAAGTCAGATTTCATTTAAATTGTGGTAAAACTTCCCAGCTGTGCCACTAGCAAATATTTTAAATGCTTATATGTTCCAAGGTTTCTTTTTACTATAAAGCTGTTAATAAAAAAATTAAATTTAAAAAAAAAACAAAAACAGAAAAAGCGGAAAAAAGAATTCCAACTTTGTTGCCTTCTTTTATTAGCTAGATGCCCTAAGGTAACATAACCCTCTCTGACATAACATTTTCAGAAAGAGTCCCTTATGGTCAAGCTCATCTGTTTCTGACACGTGCCACAGATTAGTGAAAATGGTACTCCCATTATGAGAGGGAGAGCCCATTGGCACCCTGACAGGAAATGCTCTGGAGCCAGCCCAGTAGAACAGCAGCAATGTTTTGTATTACCAGCTGAGAAACTAATTCAGGAATGGCTTTGGGATACCAGCTGAAGGCTTATGAAGTTACACACTTTGAAATGAAGTAATGGAGGAGACAGGAATGGCTGCCAGAAAAAACTTACATGCTAAACCACTTAAAGGCTGCATTCAAGCAGCACAAGTCAGAGGAAATTCAGCTACTACTAGAATCTTAATAGGCACTACAGTGAAACTCAGTCACCAGAGGGCAGAGAGTAAGAGTCGATTACTGATATGTAATTACAGATACAGATATTGATAGAAAAGGAAAAAAAAATGCAAAGAAAAAAATCAAATTTTTAACAGGTCCTTACAAAAGCAACTCAGATTTTTAAGCCCTCCCGAGTCTATAAAGGATACGATGACATCCCTAACTCCAGTGAGTACATTAGGCTCTTAAAGAGGTCCTCTGGAAGTTGTGGAATTTTCTCAGGGAATATCTCACAGATGAAAGTGATTAATTTGTAATATTGATTACACAGGGATGGAAACTGTCAAAAGAAAAACATGGTAATTTTAGAATCAATCACATAACTCTATTCTGACATAATTTCCATCTGTACAAAGAGACAGGACTGGTGACTTCCACTGAAAAGACAGTTTTAGTAGACAACTTCAGAGTCATTAGAACAGCTACAACTTTATTAGCAAACACTGTTTTACTTCAGACATGAGCAAGTCTAATCCTGTGTGGTAAAAGCCTCACAAGCATTTGGAGCACAACAGAGGGGCTCCTAGGGTACATCCTTTGACTCAGTTTCATCTAAAATGGAGGTAGCTCTCATGCTTAGCAAGCAGTGCCAGATGAGAAAGCATGTTAAGAGGGAATAGCTGAGATACACTTCAGAAGTGTTCCCCTGATTCCATGTAAAACATTAACACAGTGCAACCCAATGAAGTACTGCCATTCCACTGTTTCATATTTTACTGTTCTACTGACAAGCAGCTGATGTCTATAAGAAAGCCAGCTGTATTGTGAAAATAAAAGTTACTACTTGCTCTCACATTTTTTCTTACTAGTATCACTGTTTATGCTTCCTATCACATTTCTGACACTATCAGAAAAAGGATTCTACAAGCCACACTTCAGATTTAGCTAATTGTTGACCTGCACAGACTCACTTTTAGAAGAAAAAAGTTTTGTTTAAGCCCTTCAAATATACATTTTCTCAGCTTACAATATTTCTTTTCAAACAGTATCTAGAACTGTGGAACAGTTGTTTACATTTTAAAAAGCCTAGAAAACTCAACTTACTGAGGTGGAATGCATATAGGAATGAATTCTGGGAATTCATTACTACAGAGCTTTCATATTCTAGCAGCTATGTGTAAAAATATACTTACCTTCAGCAGATCCTGGGACATCAGAGGCAGAACTAGATTAACCCCATATAAGACAACATCTGCTGCTGATACAGATCTATTTGTAGCTTGCCCAGGCTCATGTCCTCTAAATACTTCATCTGTAGAAAAGACAAATAACATTTTGTATAAAAGGAGGATTAAACACATTGAAGGAAGACTCCCATTTCTTTATTATAAAGACATTTTTAAAAATAGGACATTTCCCCTCTCCCCAAACAAAAACATGAGGCACCGTATTAAAATAGAAGCTTAGTGAGAGGAGGCTGCCACATCACTCTATATTTATATTCATTAGGACTAAGCATTTCATAATCACGTGTAGCAGATGGCATGCTAAACCAGAACACTTTAGATAGTCTGAGGGCTCCCTTCCATTACAGAACATTGCATTTGTTTCTAGTGATAGCTTCTTCACGCCTGCACACAAACAGAGAGTGAGCAAAATAGTACTGCATTTTTATACTTTTTATATATCATATATTTACATATGCTTATATATATTTTGTAAACACAAGGAGGGAAAAAAAAGGGAGAGCTTTTTGCAGAAAATTCTGTAGCTTGGATGTTGCCAAGTTTTCTTCAGTTACAGGTAAGACCTATATTTCCCATCAACTGGCAGTGACTTTACTTTTATAATCCCTGCATTGAGTCAGCAACAGTATGCAGACAACTTTAAATACATTTGATGTCTGGGCATTACACTTAGGTAGCATTCACATTTCTTAGTTTCATAGTAACTATTTTACAGTGTTTTCATGCAACCAACATCCAATGTCTGACCTCAGAGAGAGTAAGTTACATGGCATTGAGTTGTCCATTCAATGGACAAAGTCTAAATCTGTATTCATTTTGTGCATGCATGAGAAAAAAAACAGACTGAGTACATTTGGAGTACAAGGTTTTCTCTTTGAAGATATACCTCAGAAAAGCAATGAACATCATCAAAACAACCTAGGCAGATTCCGTTTGTTACTGAGAATGTTTTCTGTGCAAAATGCATAGGACATGGTAAGATCCAAATCATGCAAATGTATTTCAGCTTATTCAAAAGCAACACAGCACAGCTACACTAGAATGGGCAGATCAGATTCAGGACTATTGCAATTTTAAGTGGCAAATATATGGAAGAAAGTAACAGTGTGGAATACAAAAAAGAAGCCTGAGCTACACCCACATACCATAAAGCATGTTTTGTGAATGAGGTATACAGAAACCCTTTAAACATGATGGAATTTTAATGATCTCAGCATTTCAATAAAGTTGGATCTTGTACTAAAAAGATAATCCATCTGCCCTCTTGCGGTAATTTACTATTCTGACCTCTCTATGGGTTTTTTGTTATAAAACTGCTGCTACTATATGTTCAGACTTGCAACATTCAGATTTCAAGCTGTTTCATACAGCTTCTGAAATTATATTTATTTTACGAGAGCAATAATAAATTCAGATGCTAGAATACTGTGACAAGTCCTTCCTTTGCTACTGGCACATTACATAGTAATATCCATATTCTGATCTAGTCAAGCCTAAACTTCACTTTGCACTTTACCTGGATTGAATGCATGCCCCACAATGGTTTTTACAGTTCAGAACACAAGTTACAGTTCAGCAACTGCCAATTCTTTCATACCTGTATCACTGAAATCTATGAATTCTTTTGACAGAAGATTAGTGAGAAGCTCCATAATAAGAAGGAGATCCTGGTACTGGTCTTCTTCTGCTGTAACATCTATCCGTTGTCGACCTAGATTATTCTTGGAATACACCTGGAGCAGGGTCAGGCAGGCCTCATACAAGTTCATGGCTTTGGCCTATAAAGCAATGTTAAATAAGAAAACTTCCATCTGCTGTGAAGTGACACACTTTGTTCTAAGATGATGACCTTACTTGATGATACCTCGAGATTTTAATTGCAGTTACATAACCACTTTTTGTAACAGCTACACGCAAAATTGTCAAGGAAACAGCCACCTTAAACAATAAGAACACTTACAGCCATACATTGATGTGCTACTGACTGAAACAGCAGAACATTACTTTTATCAATGCCTCAATCTTAAAAAAAAAAAGACAAGACAAGAATGGCTTGGGACAGGCTGACACATCTCGGTAATCTCACAAACTGGATTACCAACAACATCCCTTGGGGACTCACTTCAGCTACTGAAGTTTGGAGCCACAATACACTGTCTGTGCCTGCCCAGTTTGGAATAGGCAGGAACTCTTCCAGACGCAAAAGCAAAATTAACCAACAGTGCGAAGATGTAAGCGTACTGCACTGACTCATTTTACCTGTTAACTTCTTGGTATCTATTAAAGCCTTGTTTAGGACCAAGGCAGTGTCTCTATGGTATACATTTGTCACACAAAACAGTGCTGCAATTCTCCTAGACTAGCCTTCAGACTGTTGATATGGCTAAAAAAACTACTCAACACAGTCTGCGTTCTTTTGCCACCCATGCATAGAGTTAGGCTAGCGATGAATTGTGGTTAAGTTTATTGGTGTAAGACCAGTCTAGATGTCCTGCTTTTAATCTTTGCGAGAGTACATTTTTAAACAAAGGAATTCCTCCAACATATGTGACCATATAGCATTTCTTTCTCTATAGAACCTAAAAATCACTACACTTTATTTTGTTTAAGCAATAGCACTGTATAACACATACATGCGTGCACGCACACATGCACTTTTCCCCTCCTTCCCCTTCTAGGTGTATTTACCTCTCCAAGATAGCAAATTTGTTTATGTGCAACTTCAACAAAGACTTCTATTATGAGATTAACAGTCTCTGGTGTGTTTTTGTATACTTCCATTAATCCAATGCAATTATTAAGGAAGTCCATTAGGAAATTGAAGAGAATTGCTACGTTATCAATCTGGGTAGCCTCAGCAATGCCACAGAGTGCTTCTAATGTCGCAGTGATTTCCTGTTTCACTTCCTCCTCCTGACAGATCTGCTGAAAGTTTTCTTGGTTTATCACATTCAAGAATCGCTGCTGAAGTGGCTGAAGAACCTTGAAATTTTTTAGAAAAGTCACATTAAGATAAGCATATATTATACAAGAGATGTGAGGTTTGAGTAATTTAGCAAGCTCACAGGTTGCTTTTGGCACAGCACTACAAGAACTAATCACTTCTAGTTTCCAATGGCTCAGTTATGTTATTTGTCACATTAACGTAAGCTGGAGTACTAGTGATTAGTGATTCTCATTATCCATCATCACCTGCAGGCTGGTTTCAAAATAAGCACCTCCATAAGTATTTTATTTTATTTTGCAGTTTTTAAACAAATGACAACGACTTTCTGTGGCTCACAGTATTTGATTCTCTTCCAAATTCAGTACGAGGGGAAAATGTTACAGTTCATCAACGAAAAGCATTAATTAAGATTCATGTTCACAATTATCTGTGTCATATTATGATTCTCAACAGCGCAATCTCTTTTGTATTCAGCTAAATTGGAACCAATTTAGAAACTTCCATAAAAATAATTAAATGTTTTTCTCAATTACTTCCAGCACATTATAGTCTTACCTTCAATCACTAATTTCATAGCTTTGTTAACAAAAGCAAGTTTCTCTCAGAAGGCCAATGCTTTACAAACTCATGTGGTGCTTCCTGATCACATTTCAGCTACTTTCTAGCACCAACCTTTCTGGTATTAAATACCTGAACTTTAATGGAGCCAGGGCACAAAAAGCTGTTCAAGGCTCTTCATTATGTCCCACATTAGCTTTTTACTTTTTACTTACTCTCATTATCATTAAGTGATTAATTGAATAATTCATAATACCACCAAATTAGAATAAAAAGGAAGAAATGACACAGTTCCAAGAGAAACTCTTAACCTTTTATAGTACACTTGAAAGGAACTATTGCTATACTGGCTGCTTCATGAATGCTCCAGGTAATTATTAGTTGTTTCTGTTTAGATTGTGATGTTTTAGATACACTTTTTGGCAGCTCATGGGTGCCATACAACTATTGACTTTCAAAGACAGAATAATTAAAAAAATTATCAATATTAGATGTTCAAAAAAATCAAAAGACTGTTGACTTTGTATCACCATAAAAGTCCCTAAACTAACTTGTTTGTACTACTTGCTAAAATGGAGGTAACAGAAGGATCAAAATAACTTACCTCTGTCCAGTATTGTTGCTTTGTTTCCGTATCCATATGAGCAAAACCTCCTAAAACTAAAGCTTTCATTAGTGTTCTCTGCACAGAACTGGACAAATAGTGAAGAGGAGGGCTTCGCCTTGCAAATTGTTTAGCTAAATTCCACCAGTTTTCACACTGAATAACTAAGTTTGCCCTAAAAGAGGGAAAAAACGGTTTAATTAAAGAGAAGACTTCACAAAATTGTATTAACAGAGCACATCAGGTTGCTAGCAGTTGTCAGAAGATTTTTTTTTTTTTTTTAAACTCCTTTATTCTAAGGCTAAATCGCCTTTTGACTTTCATCTTATAAATCCCTCACCTCTAAATATATACTCCAAAAATATTCATATGGGAGAAAAGCAGGGAAGTGCTTTAGTTTTACACACATACACACATAGAGTTAATGGACACATTGCATGGATTAAAAGCTTAGTCTCATTATGTCATGATAAAATAAGCAGTTTATTCCCAAACTAGCTCCTGTGGGTTTACATTTTTTTGAAAAGAAAATTCCTCAAGCATTTAAACCCTCAAACTTCAGAACTGTCTTTCAGCAGACTATGAAGGCATGATTGCATGTATAATTGCATATCAATTCACAAAAGCAAAACATTCAAGAATTTCCTGCTTCACAGTTTGTAATGCCAAAGAAAACTTTGAAATTTGTCTGAATCTGCCAAATCCTGGATTTTTAAAAGACTTTTTTTTTATGTTTACAAAGCACAGTTTCTACTGGCTCAGCCAGTATCTGAACTCTTAATCCGGAAGAACTTGTTCAACAAAAACAAACACCACCACAAAAATCCTTGCAATAAGAGTGGAGACCAGAAGAGTTTTCCTTTCTCACTGTTTAAGAGTGAGGCATAAAGGTAAGGGAAGGAGAGTGCACTTCTAAACAATAATAAAACTTAGGTTATGTTTTGTCAAATATAGGTCTCACTCCTCACTTTGTCAGACAAGCTTTTTTTCATTTATAGTATGTTACTACAGTAATTTGACTTACAGAGACATGAATATGAAGTGCCCTATATCTGGATTACTTTGGCCAAAAAAATTTAAAGGAAGCAAAAGAAATTTTTTGACTTCCAGAGGTATAGCAACTTACCGCTCTCTCCTTTCCACTAATGTTACTAGCAGTTGTACAGTATCATTTGCAAGGTCCTGCTCTGAACTCCACACTGCCAGGTTACTGATCACTTTTTCTAAAAGGTAACCCACAATCCACTGGGAACCCTCTGTATCAGCACCAAATGCTGTACTAAATGGCAGACTTATCTATAAGAAAAGCATTAAAATGAGTGAGTTTTACAGAAGCCAGAACCCCGAAGTGTATGGTAATCATTGTGAGCAAATTCTCTTCAGGCTGTCACTTCTTCCCTACTTAAAATACACAAATGTTACATAGACGACGGCAAAGAATACCTGTAATAGAAAAATCTTTGCCAAATTTATCTTGCAATTTTAAGCACAACACCTAAAACAAAGAAAAGTTTCAACCTCATTACAAAACCAGGTTTGAGTATGTCTAGCTTTTAATGCCAATTTAAAGTTCAAAAGCTTTAAAAATTAAAAGAAAAATCCCAAAATCATCTCCCAAGAGTGTTTCCATGAATGTATGACAAAATTCCTCAAAATTCAATGATAAAAATTATTAGAAATAAACCTAGCTGTTGATCTAGATCAAATCTTGTAAAAACTTATTTTCATTGCAATTTTTCTGCATCTGCTTTCTGCAGATTGTTCCTTCAATCTATACATCATTTAGGAAAGATGTCACATTCTGATCCTGGCACATTAGAATATGCTTCTTAAAATTGCCTGTTCTCCCATCTTTAAAAAAGTTTCTCAAGAGTGAAATCCAAGGATTTTGTAATTGTGCAGGGGCTTCCTATCAGCACACCACTAACATTTCTATCTTTAAAATTCACAATATATACATGACTGCGCATAAGATTTAAACAGAGGTTTCAATCACTTTCACATGTCAACACAAACTAAATGTGTGCATTTCCTATATACCCTATTTTGTTTCTTTGCATTGTTTCTCATCTGGATCTCCTTCTTACATGCTCTCCAATTCTTCCCCAACTGGTACCTTTACAAATTCTTAGCTCTGCTGTAAGTACAATCTGAATAATATGATTCCAAATATTTACAGGTCTATCGTATACCTATTTTTGTTAAGGAGGGGCTTCCTGAAGCGTTAGTATTCTTAGTTGCTTCAATAGTGGAGATAAAGGGGAGGAGGAGGCTTCCTTCTTGAAAGTTAGAGCCCATAGGACCTCCTCAGGATGAGTGGCCTCTGTCAGCTAGCTGGATTACAGTTAGTTTGATAAGCAAAATCAGGATCAAGGTCTAATCATGATTAGTGCTGTCCAAACACCATAAGAAGTTGCCCTTTACAAAGAACACATCATTTAAATCGTGATATATACAATGGTAACATATGAGAATGGGAAGAGGAGAGAAAGTAGCGTGACATTAGCTAATGTATACTACCTTGTGATGGTGTGAAATATCTAATTCAGAATCATGACCAGGTTACTCACTAAATCATCCATCAAGGGCAACCACTGTATTAGAGATGAACTGTAAGATCTGATGGATAGAAGTAACTTATAAAATTGCTGTAGTCAGTGAGTTTCACCCACTATGCAGCCTGAGAGCATGCTATGCTATTCTGCTATGGCAATGGCAAAAAAAAAAAAAAAAAAAAATTAAAAAAAATCACATTTGCACCAAAATGTGCAAGAAGGGTCCCCTAACAACTTATATTTCTGATTAAAAAAATGAAGAAAACATCAGCTTTCAAACAAATTCCAAAATAAACCACAACCCATTTAACATTAAAAATGCTTTATCACTGCACTTTAAAATAGCTACACTGACATCTGCATTCATACGATAATGTTATTGCTAATACTCACCAATTAATTCATAAAAGTTACATCCTTACCTGATCATACAGCTTTTCATCTACTAAGAGGTAAGTCTTTGCCCAACGCTTGAGGAACCATACAATATCTTTGCCCATCTGGGGGCTCAGGAGGTGTGTGAGATTTGCCCTTATTGCTCTAGATTCTACTTCTGACACTCTTAAAATAGCAGATAACAACCTGCAGGTTTAAAACACAATGAGGATGCTGAGAGTGGTTTTTGGAGAAGCGATGCGACTACCAAACACTTTCACTTTTCATGAAATATGACAGAAGGAACAGAATAACACAAAGTAGTTCAACTCTAATGAAGTAAAAAGCACCTGAATTTATTGTTTCTTTAAATGCACGGAAAGAGAGACAGGATAGATTGGCAACTATCCTCCAAAAAGTCAGACTATGCATTAAAAGAGAAGGTGATCATCTTTGACATCAAAATTACTGCAACAAAGAATCCTCACAAACATTCTGACATTGAGGGGATGAAGACAAATGGACTACTACTTGGAGTGCTTGAAAAACTTTTTTGAAAAACTGATTTTCTCTTTCTTATACCATCAAGGTATAAGTGGATCCTCACTGGACAGCTTTTGTAGTGTGATGGATACTAAAGAACAAATATGGAAATGACCAGCTATTTCTCTCTTTGTCATTACTGCAGAGAAACAGTCTGAAATAGCAGATCATCTGGTGATTGCATTAATACAATCCGTTCATAAAGCTACATTAAATATTAGCTTTTGTAGGATATCAATTAAATTTGGTAAGGATGTGATAGAGCACAAGGAATTTAGCAGTTGACAGTCTATTTCTTGAAGATGTTTCAAAGCTATTGCCACAGAGCCTCAAAACTCTCCTTACTTAAGATTTGATTTTATTCCCATCACCACTAACACACTGCATGAAGAAATCCTGTTTGGTGGCCACTTCTTGCAGCTGCCAACAGTATCAGTGAACAGTATTCAAATTTCTAAATGTTAGACACATTGCTAATGAAGATCCATTTTTTTCTAGCCTCTTCCAGAAGAAGAAAATGTTAAGTACACAACAATTAATCTTGGGTGAAGAATCTTCCATGTCAATTAAAAGTGGAATGCAACCTTCTGATATGTGAGGGTTCAAGTTGAGGAGTCTTTTGCGGGCATCAGCTTTCTTGCAAAAGGAGAACAGAAATCCCCTTTCCTGCTCCTTTTGTAGGCTAATAGTGGTATATGTACAGAAGTGACAACAATTCCTCCCACACTGAGGATCAATTTTGCTGCTACTGCCAAGCTTGGGCAGTAACTCATGTTCAAAGTACACAAGCTCAAGCAAATGCTTTCCAGAGCATCAGTAAGCTGTACATCTGCTAAATGAATTATAGAGTATATAGTATATTATCTAAACATTTTGATCTACCAAGTTTTTAGTAATTTAAGTCATTTTAAGGATTTTCTGTACCAAATAGATCAAAGATGGGTTTTCAGTAGAGATATAAACACATTTCTGTTTATTGCCAAGACTTTGGCTCACATCCTTTGTTAAAACTATTAGGTCAATCTAGTTATTTCAGCCTTCTCATCTTGATTCAGTTTTATCTGTTTTGATGCCTTACTCCCATTTTTCTTCTCAGTCCTCCCCAGATCACCTTGACTTGAAATACCATCTGTATTTACCCTGCCTTTCTTTACCCTTAAAAAAAAAGAAAAATCACTTCATCTGCTCTGTCTTTTCATAATCTCTTTTACAGCATTCCTTTAATAGTCTGTAGCAAAGCCATTCTTATAAATTATTTGCCCTTACTTTAATACTAGTTAAAAGATACATTTCTTTTCCAATATTCAGTGTTTACATATTGCTTTTTTACTTTTCAAATTCACAGAAGTCTCACTTTTTTTCTCTGAAAAAACATATAACATACTCAACAGAACGAGATGCATCCTTACCTAATTACAGAATCAGTTCTGTTGTACCCTGGGATAGAAGAGGCCTTTTCTCCTGGAGATCCCAGAATCTGAAGTGTCGTATTGATGTCAACCTCAGCTGAATGTTTAATGGAATATTCCATTACTTCTGGAGGTATTAGTGGAGTCTCTCCCTGAGTATCATTAGCCAAGAGGTAGCCTTACATTAAAAAAGAAAGAGTGATCACAACTTTCTATCCTAGGTTAACTTACTGGATTACAGAATCCATTGGCTTAACTGCAGACATCACACCAGAATCAAATGTTTGTACAAACCCTCACTAACCCTGTTTAAATATGTATAAATTAACTTTAGACTTTAAAGCCATTCAGTAGAGAAGAACCTAACGTGACAAGACTGGAAAAGAAACCACCAAATTAAAAAGCAAATAATAAAGAGATTAACCTTACTTCACGTAAAAATACTACAGTCAATTCAACTACTGAGGGAGGGAAAAAACCACACCCAAACGAACATTTTATTGCCACTTTTTTCTTTTTCTGTGATAAAAAAGTCCGTGATTTTACAGCTTCCCCACTCAGTCAATCTCATTTGGGACTTCCTTTCTGATAACATTTCAAATCTGTCAGAGGCTTTCAGACACCAAGTACATGTGCTATAATAAAGTCTTCCTTGCATAACGACTGCAGATCAGGTGAAACATGGGTTTTTATACAATACTCTGGTGTCCAGATAATAATATTAATTCCAGCTTCAGTCGTAGTTTTCAATGTCTCATCTCACAGCCATTTGTGAGCTACAAACTCCATCCCACAGTGATACAAAAATATTATTAACACATTTGTGTCAACATCTGAGAGTGTCTAAAACATCAGATGTTCAAAGAGATCCCACAATATATTTCATAAAGTATACATTTCTCCTCACAAAGTACAGACACTGTCTTAGTTGCTACTACGTTTTGCAAACAGATGTAAGATAGTTCCATCTAAAAATTAAAACCAAAAATGTTCTAAATTCAAGTTCCCTGAAACATAACAAAATGCCAGGACATGGATCATCAGCACCGAGAGATCCTGGAACTTACTTGATTCTTTGCCACCACTGAGTAATACCGTTATCCTGATCTCAAGTTGATTCCCTTATAAAGTCATGTGCCCCCAGATAATACAACTGATGCCATGAACAGACTAACTCCTTGAATAGGTTGACTGATAACACATCTCAAAAAATCTGTACCAAAATTAGTTGTGGGAATTTCCAAAGGACATTATCTCATGTAAAGATTTTATCAGTCTTTTAAAGATAACGTTCATGTTATTCAAGGCAGGTGAAAGTAAAACAAAGAGTATGTAAGATGAAAGAATCATAAAGGATAAAATTTATAGTCAATTAAGAGTAGTTGATATACAGGGAATACTTTTTTCCCCCTGAGGTGTTCCAGCTGCACTAAGAATACCAGAATAAGTATACTTAAAGCTGTTCACTAACCTGTGACTAAAATAAGCCAATGAATATCCTCATACAGGTCATCAAGCACTTTATTGTCAATTGAGCCTGATGCTGGTGAGGCAAGTAACTGCTGCTGATGTCTTTGCAACTGACCATGGAGCCTTGTCACTCGGTCTTCTAATAAACTGTGGACAAATAACAATAAAATAACTTCACTTCTTAAAAATTTTTTTGGCAAAGTCAGATCACAAAAGTCAATGTGATTGCTTTATTGATATGCATTCATGGCTTTTTTTTTTTTTTTGGTACCTTGTAAGAAGAGGTATACAGTGTTCTGCAGCAATTCTCCCCAGCATGCCTACACTGGCCAGCTGGTCACAGAACTGGTCTCTGTCATCTTCCTGCAGTTCACTTATTTCTTCTTCTTCCCGAGAGGCCACACCGTTGGCAGTCTTTGGTTATTTCAAGAAAATTAGAAGCAACCAGTTAGTATTATACTTGTTAAATTTTATCATCATCACAATTTTCTGCATAATTTTGGCTTTTTCTTTCAAGGTGTTTTGCATGGATGAACAACAGACTCGTACTAAATTAAGACACAGAAGAGTTAAACAGAGGAGTAAACATGATTTCATATTGTTCTAAAATCAGCATTTCACAAATTCTTTAGCAAAATGCCACATTCAGTTAATTGTATATTTGCTACTTTTTGCAATAGTGCTCTCAAGTCAAAAGATTCACTGTTTGTGAAGAGTCAAGGATAAGAGTTATGAAAATTGATTACTTGTTATTAATAGGATAAGCACCAGCTCGACAATAACAAAACAGCTTCTTTATACCACAGGGTATACAAATCAGCTCTGTTGAGCATCCACTGCTAGAAGCAGTGTCCCTGCTCCTTGCAGGGGGGTTGGACTAGATGACCTTTAAAGGTCTCTTCCAACCCAAACTATTCTATGATTCTAAATATGATAAAAGGTATTGAATGACTCTGGCTCACGGAAATGGTCTGCAAACCTAGTGGTCAGAGGATTGCTGAAGTACATTTACATTTCAAATCACATATATAGCAGACCAAGAACCATTTTAAATACTGGAACCTCTATGCTTTCCTCTATGCATCAGTCAAAAATACTGTTCTCGGTCATCTGAGATCTTACATAAATCACATAATAGGTGTATTTTTCATGATGAAATTAAAATAATCTCTTTCATTAAAGATTTTCCATAACCCACTTTTTGAGAAAAAGCATTAAAAAGTAAATGCTATAACCTCAGGAAAACAAAAGACTAGTAATAATAATAATAATAATAATCATCATCATCTCAGTTTTTTTTTTTGCTGATGCAGAAGTTGCACTGTTAGATTTGGCTGCATTATAAAACTACTTATATAAAAATCAGACCTTATTCCTTGAAGAGGTGAACCATGATACATAGAAACTAAGTATCGAAGTTAAAAATGTTTTCAGAAATCTCTTAAAGAATCATAAAATTTACACAATTAAAGTAAAACACAAGTGACAGATGAAGCGATCAGTCTGCTTTGTTTCTATAAAGGCTCTGGAAAACTGAATGCACGCACAGCCCCTTATTCAAAGTGCTTTTAACCCATCTTTTCTTTATGTAACCCAGCAAATCGTTCTCTTTTGGCAACTTCAAAGTTGCAGCTGTTTACTGAAGGGTGAGCCTCTGCTCTCAAAGCAGAGGCTGAAAGTTCCTGTTACTGCTTTGATATTGAACAAGCAGCATTCTAAAATGCCAGCTGTGGCTTTTAAAAGGTTACCCATGGGATAAATGACTTATCTCACAGAATGACATGAATTAACCTGTGTATACAAGTTATGTCAAGAGCGCCTAATATGAATTCAAAGTTCTCTTGATAAATATTTCTGTTTTGGCACTGTTATTACCATCTGTTACATATTGAGATAGCAGAATCAAGTTTTACATGGTGTTTTTCAGAACGAGGTACCTTGGAGATCTTTGCACAGCACCAAATTAAAAAGAAATTTTATACACTTATTGAATTGAATCTATACAATAATTAATTCATCCAACATGTACATACAACTTTCTGTATGAGAATCTATTTTAGTAAGATCCAGACTCCTGGCAAAGAGACTAATCTGCTTGCTTTCACAATGGTCCAAGAGATACTTGAAATACTTTTAGTTTTTTTTTCCTAGAACAGTCACCTGGAAAATTCAAATGGGAATTCATTTTATCCAAAAGAACCACATAATATTACAAGTTTCTTTTAGTCTAAGCATAGTCATTCTACATTTTCTCAGATATTTATGCATGTCAATTATACTTCAAAAGTATACTGGGGATAATGTATAGGAGGTAACAACCATATAAAAGGCTTCCAGTTTCACTGGGGATTTTAACTAGGACTCTTGTCCAGAGAAGGGTGGTCAAAAGTTTAGTCATTGCATCTGTGGGAAGAACAGTGAGATGCATGTCGATTTGAATAACAGGTTTACTCGTTTCCATTTTTTAAAAACTGATTTTCAACTGTGTATTCCTCATGAGAATGAGAGAAACTGTGTATTTCCTCTTCAGAATGAGAGAAACAGACTGGAAAATGACCACCAAATAACAAATTCAGCAAATTTTTCATTACCAAAGTCACGAATAGTAATTCTATACTAGCTCCCTTGAGCTACATAATATAGTACACACCAAAAGATATGGGCTAGTTACTATATATCATCATCAAGGACTATTAGAATGAGGGCTTACCAAATTCCTTGTACCATCAGGAGCAGCTAGATGGCACTGAATATAGGAATTAAAGACCTGAACAGCATGTTGGGTAAAGAAACCTTTATGGAAATGTTTGTCATCTTGTACCAAAGTAAGCCAAGATTCCAGCAACTTATCATATGCTTCCATATATACCATGTCATCTTTGTCAAGCTGTAAGAGATGAAAGAAACAAAATTAAAATCTTATTCCTAAACTAAACCAGAGGAACATACTTGCAGATGTTCTTCTAATGTTGAAACAATTTTAAAAATCAGTCATAAAACCCATCTAAGGATAGCCAAGAAAATATCAGAATGAACTGAAGCAATACATTGAAAAGGTCAGTGCAGCTTTCATGCTTGCTGGGCTTTAAAAAACTGTCAAAGTGTTTCGCTATTTCTTTTCATCTGATGTTCAAAATCAAAAGTCTTTAATTATGCCTTTAACGCATAATTACCTAAATACAGGAGCTACTGAGCTTTTACCTCAAAGATGCCACGCATCTCAGCTCTTATTAGTAACAAGAATTAAGTAAGAAAGAATTGAGCCATTTCTTTTTAATTAAATAGACAAATATAGAACATGTGCATATAGATTTATATGTATTCCACTATTCTGAAATAGAGAGAGAAAAGATGATGATTCTCTGTTCCAGAGGAAATCATTGTAAGGTTGCACGTGTTCAAGAAACCCTACTACAGGCAGCCAGTTTTGATGATGATACACAACTTCTCATCCTATGAGCAAACAAACAAAAAGTGGAATTACATAGAATAAGCCTGTACCTCCAATTGCTTAGTGCATTTTAACTGATGCTTCATGTTTTTAAGTTATCCATATGTGTTTCTACATAGTCCAAAAGTTGCAAAAGGAAATAAAATACCCTGTGGTTTATGTTACTGTTGAATACAATTTTGTCTAATAATAATAATTTTTTGCCTAAAAATAACAAGGTCTTGGGTTACAGGCAAACTAAAGAACCCAAATAGCAAAGAGGCCATTTATTTTTAAAAGTATTTTTAATATACCTATCAACTTTTTGATTTGATGCAAAACCTGAACTTTAGTAAATATATACAACTTCAAATAACTTAAGTGTGACTGTACAGATAAACATGCCACTAAATCAGGACATTTCTTTCCTCTAAGAAGTCTTCTCGAGTTTTAACCAACAGGATTGCTCACAAAAGTTACTTTGAGATAGCAGAGCTTAGTAAAATGATCCCTTGATGAAATAAAGGGATATTAAGGTCTTAATCATGCTCCAGACAGAAGAATTCATGACTTTTAGTGAAGTTATGAACAGCAGGCAAGGAAAAGAAAACATTGGCTGGGTGACTGATTAAGAGGGAAAACTGATATTACATTGGAAGCATTTCAAGATAGCTCCACAGCATCATTTTGTAACTACAAAGTGGTCACATTTTCGAAAGTTAAAATACTGTACACACTGATGCAAGTGTGAAAACAAAAGCTTAAGATGACAAGATGAGAGGTGAAATTGTATTCAACAGTACATAAACCACAAATTTAGGATGAACACCACAACATGTCTTTTTAAAACTTGACTAAAGGACACATGAATTCACAGACAGTCATTCAATCCTGAAATATTTTGACATGTCCATGTACAACATTTACATATATCTTACATATAATTTTAAATAATTTATAAGAAGCCAGAGCATAAACCAATAAACAGACATGTCTTTTTATGAATCACAGAAACACTA